AGTAAACACACGATTACTCTCATGTGGAAAACATTAAACTTTTACTATACTTTTCTTTATATAACAAATCATATGTGATTTACATCTATTATATGAAACCGTTCACATGCAACACCCATTATAATAACATCTCATCTTTTCAGAATGAAAACATGTTACATAAATATCAAATGATTTATTTACATTATGAGTATAAATGTTCAATAATACTATTACAAGTGTTATACTATACATACAAAGATGACACTACGTCAGGGTTTACTATACAAATGAAACACACTTTTGGAAAAACTATAATAGGTATAGTTTATAAGGAAATCATGAGATTTTAGATACTATAAGTACTATATTAAAGAAATACTTTCATATACAAGAACAAATGGACTTTTCATACGTTAATCTATTTGATACTATGTTTTGTGAGGCATTCAACTTCATGTACTTTCAAGTATGCAGTTAAAGTCTTGTATTATAAAACATAAAATCTTGTACAGAGATTGTGATACTTGTGTATAGATCTATACGGGATTGACAATCCCGCACCTAAACTATTTAATACAGTTAGACCGGCAGGTCTGGGGTGAGAAACGTCATAACATTCCAATGCCTGAAGAACGTTGTTACAGGCAGTCTGGGTTAATAGCATGGTTATAAAACTTACATGGAGTATTAAAAGCATGTTGATTTACAGGGTTATTAAATGACTTAGTGATTTTATACATACATAAATCTACTATTATAGGCATGAAAAACACTATTGCATTACAGTTTTGGAACTTTCAAACTACCACACACTTATGGAAAATATTAAATATCTAAAAGCAAACATTCAAAATAGTCGGGTCTTGGTAGAAGACTACTTTTATACTAGAAGGAAATATAGGATTTTTTAGGAGTTTTCAAACATATACAAACATCTTCATTCAAACATATACAAGTAAGTTCATTCAAATTTTATACAAACATTGACATTAACTACTTATGAATTCACCAATTTAATTGTTGACACTCTTTCGAAACTTCTTGTATTTCGCAGGGATTCATTAATACAGGTAAACATCAGAATTTTGGAGAAGTGACGCTAAGGCGTTAGTTTAAAACTCATTTTGTCATCATTCAACAATCTAAATTTTGAATTACATATATGATAGTTGTTTTACTTTCTTTACTATGTATTCACTTGTTACGATACTACATGAAGTCATCCGCCCTCGAACAATTCTGCTATTCTGGTTTGGGGGTGTGACATCATAAAGAGGCCATCGGATGGACAATAACGGGCATTAAGGGGATAAGTACTAATGTATGCATTCACAAGATCCTCATGGATGATGATTGTAAGCCTAGGAGGGAAGCTCAAAGACGGTTAAATCATCCTATGATGGAAGTTGTCAAGAAAGAGATAATCAAGTTCCTTGATGTGGATGTGATTTACCCCATTTCTGACTCCAAATGGGTTAGTTTGGTTCAAGTGGTTCCCAAGAAAACAGGAATCACAGCTGTTGAAAATAACAAGGGAGTAATGGTACCCACTCGAGTTCAAAATGGATGGAGGGTGTGCATTGATTACAGAAAGTTGAATTCAAGCACATAAAAAGATAATTTTCCCCTTCCTTTCATTAACCAAATGCTCGAGCGATTGGCGAACAAGTCGCATTATTTTTGCCACGATAGATACTCGGGTTTTCATCAAATACACGTTGCCCTGAAAGATCAAGACAAGAAGGCCTTTACATGCCCTTTTGGCACGTTTTACTACAAGTGTATGCCATTTGGATTATGCAATGCCCCCGCCACATTCCAACGATGCATGGTGAGCATCTTCTCCGAGCATGTAGAGAATATAATTGAGGTGTTCATGGATGGCTTCACCGTATATGGCAATTCGTTTGATGAATGCTTGGATAACCTTAAGAATATTTTGAAAAGATGCATTGAGAAGAAGTTGGTGTTAAACTTTGAGAAGTGTCACTTCATGGTCAATCAAGGCATCATCTTGGGACACATCATCTCCAAAAAGGGAATTGAAGTTGATAAAGCCAAAATTGATGTCATACAAACCATTCCATGGTATGCAAATATTGTCAATTACTTGTTTACTAAATAAATTCCACACATATTTACCAAGTACCAAAAGGCCAAGCTGAAGAGTGATTCCAAATACTACGTGTGGGATGACCCTTATGTTTGGAAACATTGTCCAGATCAACTAATACGGAGGCGTGTTCACCAAAATGAGGTCGAATCAATCTTGAAGTTTTTCCATGAGTATGCATGCGGAGGACATTTTGGTCAAAACAAAACCATGCGAAAGGTGCTAGAATGTGGACTCTATTGGCCAACAATGTCAAGATATACCTATTTATTTTGCAAGAGTTGTGATATATGTCAAAGAATGGGAACCTTATCCATGAAGAACAAAATGATTCAAAGCCCTATACTCATTTGTGAGATCTTTGATGTATGGGGAATCAATTTCATGGTCCTATTCCCCGTCTCTTTCGGTTATACTTATATACTCTTGGTGATTGACTACGTATCAAAGTGGTTGGAAACAAAGGCTACAAGGCATGATGATTCTAAAACTGTAATTGACTTCTTGAAGTCAAATATTTTTGCAAGATATGGTGTACCAAGAGCCTTGGTGAGTGATAGGGGCACTCATTTTTGTAACAAAATGATGGAAGCTATGATGAAGAGATATCGTGTCACACATCGGACTTCAACCGCCTACCATCCACAAACAAACAGCCAAGCCGAAGTATCAAATAGAGAAGTCAAACAAATTGTTAAAAAAGCGGTCAAAAATACACGAAAAGATTGGAGCTTGAAGTTAGAAGATGCATTGTGGGCGTATTGGACCGTCTATAAAACTCTAATTGACATGTCTCCATTCCGCCTCGTCTATTGAAACTCTTGTCATTTACTGGTGGAATTAGAAGAAAAGGCATATTGGGCGGTTAGAAAGTGTAATTTCAATATTGAAGAAACCGGAAGCATCGAAAGATGCAACTTCAAGAAATCGAAGAGTTGAGGAATGAATCTTATGAAAAATGCAAGCATCTACAAAAACAAGACAAAAGCATTTCACAACAAGAACAGCACTTGAAAGCATTTTATTCCGGGCCAAAAAGTTCTTATTTATCATTCACGCTTAAAGCTATTCCCGGGAAAGTTGCGATCTCGATGGCACGAACCTTTTATTGTTATAAAAGTGTTTGATCACGATGCGGTTGAAATGAAGAATTCGGAAACAAATCAAATATTTAAAGTGAATGGGCACCGCTTGAAACCATTTTATGAAGGTTTTGATACGGGAGAATTCGACAACGTAACATTGGAAACTCCGATTTACGGAGGTTGACAGAAGCGGGGCTACGTCTTGGCAAACACGTTAAATAAATGCGTTGTAAATAAATAACCTCCGCTTGAAGTTTTGGTGTTTCTAAGCTTGAAGTTGGTCAAAAAAAATAAGCATCTTGAAGTTTATCAATGATCTTGGTAAAGTTTGCAAAAAGTTCCAAAAATATGTAATTTGCGTTAGTACCCGCGCAAACGTTGCGCGACCCAGCCCCAGCCGTGCAAAATCCGAGTCCAAATTACCCCCACATGGGATGCATTCTGATGTATGCACGCGGCTGATCCCCCACCTGCGTAGGTTCTACGCGACCTGATTCCTACCCTCGCAACCACTTGCGTGACCTGCTTCCTACCCTCGCAGCTCTTGCACGGCCAAGAACAAAGCTCTATCCTCATTGCGCAACCAACCCATCAGCCACATCGGAACTTTCCCCATCCGATAACCTGACCCATACCCGATCCTTCCTCACTCGATTACCTGATTCATTTTTCATACCCGACCCACCCTTATCACCCCTTAATCTGCCGGACCTCACCCCACCTCTAAGCCCTACCCCTTGTGACTCTCATCCATCGTCCCCAACCTAGCTGCTACCAACAAAGATGACGCTGCTGCTGCTTCCGCTACCGGTTTGCACTGCCAACCTCGCCATCACCTGTCGACCGTTGCTAACCTCCTTCCTCTACAACCGATAGTAGCCCACAGCTCCGATTTCGCCCCTCCTTTCGTTGCCAGAAATCGCACTCCAACCACCCAACCCTCCTCCAATGTTGTTATCGCTAGTACATTCCACCTGCCTCGCCCCCACCCATTTCAGACCACCCTACACCCTTTTACCACCAGTACTCAGCAACACCGCCACCACCTCTCCACCGAAAAGCATAAAAGCTCAGTACCACCACCACCTTCCTTCAAATTCCAATTTTTCTTGGAGCATTCTTCACAAAATACACCCGTACACGCCGATCTACAGTTAATTTGGGAAAATCAACTCGCCAGGAAACCCTAACTCCGCTATCGGCCACCGTCTGCCGTCACCGGCCACCGCAACTTGGGGGTCAAATTCAATCTTGGGGTGCGGTTTTAGCGGTTTTCTTTTTGGGATTCGACACTCGAATTTGGTACAATCCTTTTAATTTTTATTGCTTTTGGTATCCAATTTGAATAGACTTATGTTATGCATTAGGTTAATTAGGATTGATTTTCTTTGAATTGATTGGATTACATTGCCTTGAATTGTGCAAAATTGCAAGTTTGGAGTAGTTGCCCGATTTATATTTTTCTTTTTGTTGGATTGATTGGATTGGTGCGAGGTGAGTGTGAGGGATAATTTTGCCAAAGTTTTTGTCTTTGCTAGGTTATATTTACAAGTATGATGTGAAAGAACAAAACCATTCATGCGTCTCATGGTACTTCCCGTGAGGCTCTATTATCGCGATCATCCAAAAAGGTGTCAACCGAGCATGTTGATCGTGATGATAACTTAGTCCTCACTAGTGCACAAATCAAGAAATTCAAGTCCAACCTCCAAAAATGTGCAGTCCGAGCCACCAAATTTTACCATCGCGAATCCATGATTAACCTTGGCCTTGGCAATTTCTTGCAACAAATGTTCTTTAACATAGGTTGGCATGATTACCTAGCTCTTTCTGTGCGCACATACAAGCACCTTACACTTGAGTTCCTTTCCACTTATGCACAGGATGACACGGTGTGGGTGCTCACCTTTAGACTCCAGGGTCAGCAGCACCAACTCACATACGACACCCTTAACACTGTCCTGGGAACACACGATAGACACAACACCGATATCTGTAGTTATCAATTGACTCAATTCAAGAGCGTGCCCAAAGTATAGTTTTGGACTCAGATCACTAGTCTTCCAAACTTCAATCCAAGTCGCCAAAAAGATCCTTACATCATCCGTCCTTGTTATAGAATAGCCCACTGGTTCTTTCAACTTCCATCTTTGGTCATCATGAGCCGGGACAAATAAACACATTCGAGCTATATTTCCTCTCTTGCATGACTAGCCGCCGTTAGTCTTGCCCCAGTTTCGCCACCTTTTTCTTGGATAAATGTGACAACATACATTTGAAGATCACTGACGACATTTGCATTGGAAGTCTCATTACCCTAATTGGTTTGGGTGTGGGCCTACAATTTCCCGAGTCTGAGTATGTGCCAGTGGATGACCGACCTCTCTACCTCCTCGACTGCTTAGCTCTCACCCGGATGGAATTATTGTTACCTGTGTGTAATAGCCATTACTCCTGGCTCAACCATGAAAAAGAACTAGTTTATACCTTACCTAATATCAGAATATCCGCCTTTTCCACCAGCAACCCCGAAACTTGGTTCTTGCCTGAAGATTTACATGATGATGATGATGCAGGCGACGATGATGAAATGCAGGTCGACAATGCCCATGCTGATAGTCCATTTGAGGCCAAAGACCATTCTGACCTCCCAATCCAAAAATTTCCAACACCCTTTTATGATCAACCTTCGGGAGCACACTCTTAGCCACATCATGAGTATCATTCCTATCAACAAAACAACGAGTCGGGACCCAAGTTTCCTCTTGATACATACCATCATCTTGCTGTCTTGTGCCTCCATGGCAACCGGAATACAACAGCCATTCAACGCATCGAGGAGCAGAAAGCTCGCACCAACAACTAAATGGAGGATCTTTGGCATCCTCCACCTTGATCCCGATATGATCCTTCCTTACTCTCATCCTACGCATTGAGGAAAATGCTTAATTTTAAGCATAGGGTGAGGTATTTCTTATCTTTTATTTTTATTGCATTTAGGTTGTATATAGTTGCATTTAGAGTAAGTCATTTAGGTCATTCATAAAAATTGCATAAAAATTTCAAAACTATTGCATATTTTGTTTCTTTCTTTTCTAATTTTCAAACTTTTTAGATGCTTCTAGTTTAAGTTCATGCATTTTTGTTCTATCTTATCTTCTCATCCCTACAGGTACCATAGCGTCGAGTCATAAGTATTGAATCATAGGTTGGTCCCGGGTCTTGATATGGAATTCCTTGTATTTGATATATGGTACACACTTTGAGCCTCAGAGACCACTTTGAGACCGCTTGTGTGGGGGTTAGATTCAAGTAGCTTGATTGGGTCTAGGTGCGGAGGGATGTTGTTGGTCAAACCAATGTGTGCGAGCAAATACTAGCCCGGTATGGTATTTTGAAGACATTTAAGACATTGAAGACTCGCATCTTGGTTTTAGGGGGAGTGCCCCTTAGTACTCCTGAGTCTCGTCCGAGCCTTACTTAGTTAGATTCTCACCACCTTTTAGTTAGATAGATTTTGTTTATCACACCTTGCATTGAGGTGTTTCATGAACTTTGAAGTGGGTCCCCCAATTCACATCTTTTGGGACCAAGTTTTTTCGATAACACCTATTTTTGAGTCATTCCCCACCCTTTTTAGTAGATCTTGACACAGTCTCAATGGTCAATAGGTTTTCATGTTAAGCCTCTATCTATTACTCCATCTTCACTATTGGAGTGCTATGTGCATGGTGAAATTCCTTAGACCTTCCAAGAAGAAAGACAAGAAGAAAACACAAAAAAGTGAAGAAATTGGAAAAGCAAAAACAAAGAAGAAAAATGAAGAAAAAGAGCAATACAAAAAGAAGTACAAGAATCCAAGTTCAAGACTTTCCACAAAAAAAAGGAGAGAAATAAGAATACAGAAGATCGAGTAGCAAGGGGACTGAAGACCAAAATAACATAAGATCAAGATTGAAGCTTTAAGTTGTTAGGTTACGTAGAATTTTTTTTCTTATTTTATTTTATTTTTGATTTTGGTGAGAAAAATTTATGACAACGAGACGGTAGGTTGTGAAGGACAGTACAAGGGAGAAGCCTCTGAAACGGGATGCTTGCTCGGAGGCCATGCTGCAAAACTCTATTTCATTATTATACACTTTAGCCTGATAAATGTAGGAATCATATTTTCCTTCACGCATTATGGTCTGCATTGGCAATTTAAAGTGCCCCCACTGGGCACATCCTCTGTTTCCTTTGTCTTGCACACCGCGACTACATCCAGCCGTGACCTATTCGCCCATCAAGTGGTTAAGAATGTGCTTATGGCTCTAAAGCGCGGAACATTTTGAAGATGTGTAGGGTCCACGAAAGACTAATTCTGACCATGTTGACTTATGTTGATAAAGTTCTATGGTATTTTTCTTTTCCTTTTTAGTTTTGCTCATCCCGAGCTCATTTTAGTCTTGTTCAAACTTGAGGACAAGTTAGGTTTAAACTTGGGGTGATTTGATAACTTATTTTATTTCCTTATTTTTATTATTTTGTTTTAGTATTTTTATCTCTTTTTTATTAGTATTGCATTGAATTTTATTTATTTTCTTTATCATGGATCATATCCGGGACTTTTTATTTTGCATGAGATATTTTGCAGGGTTTTAGAGCATATTGAGGTTGCGGTTTCACAGGAGTTGGGCTTGATGGGCTTTTCGATGCATTATTGGGCTTTACGGATCCATCAAAGGAAATTTGGGCTTAAAAAGCTGAAGATTTGGATGATGTGGACTTCTGAAGATGGGTCATGGATTCTTATTTTGGGCATGGACTATCCATATTTAAAGCTTGAAGGTGATTGTCCAATTTCAAATCATGTGAGTCATGGAGGGGACCAAGGGAATCTTGGGTAGTGAGGTGTGTAGTGGAGAAGAATGGACCAATATCATTCTAGCAATACTTGCGAGGGTGGATTCCGAGCCGCGCAACCCTTGTGCGGGTACCTGCACAACCGCACACTTTTGGGCATTTTGGTCATTTTGTTTACCATGTACCTTGGGGGGTTGGATGATTCAGTTACACATCAATTTTCCACCATTAGAGACCAGAGAAGGGGATTTTGGAGTTTGATACTAATTCATTTCATCTTCCTAAGTAATTGGTAGTTTCTTGATGCAATTAGACTTTTGTGATTGTGATTTTGTCTCCATGAGTGGCTAATTTCTCTATTTTGTTTAACTTTGGCTGAAAACCCTTGGATAATTGTGGGGTTTGAAGGATTCATGCTTGATTATCAGTTATCTTATGTTTATGATTCTAGTTCATATTTCTTATGCTTGTTTAATTCTTTGATCATGAGTTTGGTACTTGAATGAACTATTGTTGGTTTATTTATTTGGTTTTGCATTGAATCATTGAATTTACTTAGAACAAGGGCTTTATGATGGTAGAAATAATCTCTAGTTTATGGATCATAACTCCTTTATGGATGCGTAAGCATTGGCATCCTCTAGGAATTAGGGATTCCTTCATTCTTAAGGCTAATCAACTTATTGGGTTCAATTACTTCAATTAAGGCTAATCAACTTATTGGATTATGAAGGTATGTTGTGGGCTTCCCCAACCTCCATACTACCTATGAGGAATCTTGGCATATCATGCTTCATGATTTCTATAACCAATTTGGGATGAATGATAAGCTTCATACTGAATCCTAATGATAAATACACAAATGTCCATTGTGTTGAATAGCCTTGGTTGACCAATTCTCTCCAATATTTGAGCATCTCATCATCTTGCTTAATTGCAAGCTTTTTAGTTATTCAAGTCTTTTAGTTTTCAAAAAATCAAATACCCCCCTTTTAGTTTAATTATAGTTTGTTAGTTTATTTAAACTAGTTCTATTAGATTGCATCGGTGATTGAATACAACCATTTCCCCGAGGATCGATACCCCTTTTTACCATTATATGATGTTTTATTTCCAAACAAAGGGTTCAATTTGCTTGGTGGACTTAACATCCCACCACAAAAGAAGAAATTAAATCCCTATTTTTGACCTATATCTGTCAACGAACATGGTAACTCAAAGAAGATAGAAACCAAGTTTTTGATGCGCTTAGAATCATTTATTTATATGACTTCTTTAAACTCCATGGTTAACATTTTTAAAATACTGAAGATTCTAATAGATTGTAGGGGCATACACAAATTTTGAAATTTAAGGAGACAAGCTCAAAAAATGATTTAAATGGAAGCATTATATAATATGTGGAAACCGGATAACTTTTCCACCAATGTAAGACTCACAACCCATGCATTGAGTGAATATTTTGAACCAATTGATCAGGAACATATATGATTCCTCAACTACAAATTCACCAAAGAACATAGAAAGAATTCAAAATTAGTATCTCGAAAGGGGAGAACTTTTTTGAGAGATCGTGAGACTCTTGTATGTTCTTGCATTACTAGTTATGTACAAATCTAATGTAGCGTTGAATCTAAGTAGCCAACTACTTTCAGTAATTCAAGAAAGAGTAAGTTCACTATTGCCAAGTTAAAGAATCGAGACCGATTACACATTTAATGATAATTTAGGAGTACAAATCGTGACACTAACTCGATAAAGTATTCATACACTTGTTCCAAAAATGTGCTGATAAAAAGGATCTGCTTGCCATAATTTACATGTATATGGCAAATTTCTTTGGCAACACCATAAGATATAAAAGACCACGCTGACCTACCATCGAGTCATAAGAAGAATGACCTTGATTTCCTATCACAATTTTTAGGTGTTGGGTCAACCAACAAAATGTTTCTAAGTTCAAGAAATTCAAGATATTTTGGTTGGACATCCTTATAAATGAAATCAAGAGATTTGGTAAATACATAAATTTTGATTGAATCAAGAATTACAATGGTTACCTATATGGTCGATTACATTAATTATCTAACCCCCAAAACCCAATATCAAACTATATTTATATGCAAAAATAGCTGATCTTGATTCATAGTAATCCAATATCAAACTCACTTGCCTAGTTGCCTTCGTTAGTGTTTGTATGTACATACACACGTTCTGCATTTCAACCATTCATGCTTAGGCATCTGTTATGTTGATATTTTAGATGACGTCATGGAATGACCATATGTGTCCTTTGTTTAGTCTGTCCAAAAGCATAGTCGATGTGATAGTCACTCAAATT